TCATTTTTATTAAAATGATAAAAAATAAACTGAAATCCAAGCTCATAAAAAAGATCCATATTCTCAAAAAATCCTAAGATTATAATCAATTTTAATTAGCTTTTCCAAAGTTATGCCCCTGGATGATTGGGCAAAGAGTTTTTGTGGATATTCAACCCTCTTGATTTCTTAACGCTTATTGAGCCTACCTAAATTAAACTTTGCACCTTATGCTTGAAAGCAAGGCAAGTTTCTATGGAATGACCCACATTCCCACTATGATAGTTATATGTGGCATTAACATTGTACCATTTGAGATAGGGTGGCTTCAATGGTTTCAAAAAGACCAAAGATACTAGGTCATTCTTGACCAATTCTGGAAATAGCTCAGTATAGGTAATGAGAATAAGATCAATGTAAACTCTCTTTTGATTACCCTTGGATCTTTTTAAACCACTTGCTTGATTGTTAAACCTTGGAATTGGTGTAGTAACAGGATAAGGCCTATTGTAGGTGCTTGAAAAGTTGGCTAATAATTAGAGTGGCATTGTTTATAATTGAGAGATAAGGCTGGTAAGGAACTTTTGCAACATTATTGGCTATTAGATAGTAAGCAAGATGAACATATAGTGGATGTGGAGCATAGCTTTTGGATTAATGTCCTTCAAAACTCATCACTTGGGCTTCATCTTCTTCTCTTTTAGGTATCCCACTTTCTTTGGCACTATTGGTCTTTCCTTCTTTAAGCTTACCATTCTTGATGGCATTTTTAATAATCTTCCCTAAGACCACCATATCATTAAAATTCTTGATCGCACTCCCTATCATCTTCTTATAGTAAGGCAACTTTAGAATGCTTACAAATAGCACTGTTATTTCTTTCTCTATTAGGGGAGGCTGGACTTGAGTGGTTATATTTCACCACCTTTGAGCATACTTTTTGAAAAACTTAGATGTTTTTTTCTCCATGCCTTGTAATGAAAGGCGATCATAAGTCATGTCTATGATGTGATGGTATTGGTTAATGAAGGATCAAGTCAAATCTTTCTATGACTTAATATGAGTCATATCCAATTGGACATACTACCTTATAGTAGAGCCAGTTAAGCTATCCTAGAATACATGCATTAGTAGTTTCTCATTGTTGGCATGTGCTACCATCTTACGATAATTCATTATGATATGCATAATAGGGCACTTGGAACTGTCATACTTTTCAAATTTTGGTACCTTTAATTTCGAAAGAATCATAATATCTAAAACTAGGCAAAGGTTGGTAGCATCCATGGATCTATAGAAATCAATGTCTTTTACAGCCCGTAATCTTTTCTCAATCATACTCATAACTTGATCGATCTTAAAGTTTTTTGGAGGTACAGCGTCTACAACTTTTCTTTCTCTTTAATCTCATCCATTTTGAGAATTTGGATTAGCTCATTTGCTTTTTCAATGAAGACAAGATTGGTATAGCTCTTAACATTCCATTGATTAAAATTTAATAACGTGGTCTGTTGTTAATGAAAGCTTGGAGTGGTTTAAGTTTGATGTGGACCAAAACCTGAAATATATAATGGCTCAGCATCTTCATGTAAGATGTCTTTTTTTGTTACCTTTCCTCTATTTCCTTTTTCTAGAGCCTCTAAGATTTTGCTCAATTTTTCTTCAAGTATCTCCTGAGCCTTTTTCTATTCTTTCATGATAGTCTACATTATCTTGCTCCATTTTTTTTGCTCTAGCTCGAGTGTAATGCTGGTGTTGATCTATCATTGAACCTTGATTTCCCATAATTATAGTGCAAATTTAGAATGATGTTTATGGATCTATCAAATTACGCATAAGAATGAATGCAATGATGCATGAATGCATGCATGCATAAAAAAGCATTAGTAAGCATAATATGTAATCTACATGTAAGTTTATGAATATACACAAGAAAAAAGAAATAAAAAAAGATAAGAGAATTGGTTAGTCATCTCAAATTTTAATAAAAATAAAGAATAAACACCACAAGGCAAGTAAGATAACATCATGACCCTAGATTTTGGTTAACTACAAAGGGTGAAAAGACATGGCTCTATCCATGGTTAGACTCTTAAAGTTAACTACACGTGATTTGGACAGCCTCTAAAAGGTTCCCAAATTATTCCTTATATCATAGTCCATCACAAATTAGTAAGGCACCCCAATCATTGCTCATCATAGGTTATAAACGAAAAAGGTTCAATCTGAGTGAAAGTGTTTCGCAGGCATATGCGGAGACATGAAATCTCACGAGGGCATAAGTACTTCACCCCCTCCTAAAGGTAGAGCCTAAGTGGAAGGCTTATGTTATGCATATGCAAATGTATGACAGATATATACCATAAGTTAACAGTTAAGTAGATATAAGTAATGAATAAAAAGATAGATAAATAAAAAATTGGGTAAGTATACACAATGAAAAGGAAAATAACAAAGCAAATATAAGCATTGAAAGGGAATAAAGTAATTTCAAATTTATTAAGCGAGGCCTGGATAATAAAAAATTATTTATTGGCTTGACTCTTAAGGTCCCTAGCGGAGTTGCCAAACTGTAATAATGTATAGATCCATTGACCTACTACTAGACATAGATTAAAGGAGTTGCCACCAATCTTTTTTGTCTAGGTGTGATTAGCCACCTAAAACATATTCTGGTTTACGAAAATAAATGTTAGGTTTAGGAGTTGGTTACGCATGGGGAAGGTTGTATCACCCTCACAACACCCATCCAAAGGATGGTTTTAGTTTGATTTTGAATTATCTAAGCCTTGATCTTTTTTATGATTTTACCAAATAATTTAATATTAAAAATTAACCCTAAAATTGTCCCAATAGTTTGGTAGCAATTTAGGATAATTCTTTCACCTACGGAGTATTTATGGAAATTAGTGTCCCACTCTAAAGAGGCTCCGTCGTTGGATTTATTAATTTTTATTTTAAAAAAATTAGTGAAGCCTCCCAATAGTTTGGTGGGGTTCACTTCAAAGCAATCATCGAATAGTTTAGAGGATAAAAGTTATTTTTATTTTTTTATTTTTTTGAAAACTAATTTATGGAATTTTCCAATAGTTTGGTGGATTCCATTTTAAAAATTAAATCCATGAAAATTCTCTAATAGTTTGGTAGAATTCATGAATTTATTTTATAAGAATTTTTATTTTAAAAAAATATTTTTTTATTTATTCTTTTAAACTTATTTGAAAAAAAGTTTTTTATTTATTTCATAAATAAGTAAAAAAAATCATAATAATAAGTAATGTATTTTTTAATTGAAAATAAGAAATAATAAAAGTAAATAAAAATAAACAAAATAAGAAAAATAGAATCAAAATAGAAAATGGAGTGGAAAAGGGAAAGAAAATACTTGTGATCGGGTAGGGTTGTGCATGATAAAATACATAGATCTGGATGTCTCAAATTTTAAGCTTTTATTCAAAAGTGTTTCACTATGCCTCTCTTTCTAAAATGGCTACTCTTTTGTCTTCTCTCTAACTGATTTTTAGAATTGACAAATGAATCCCAAAAGCTAACAAAGAATTTCCAGGAACCAAACAAATTGTCTAGAAAGCTAAACTTGTGAATCCCTATAATGCAAAACGCTACAGAAATTCAAACCCAAAAACACCAAATCCCAATTTTAGAAAATCTAAACAAATCAAATCCAGAATCTAAAACCTCTTGGTTGCTAAACAAATTTTTCTCTTTTCTCTCAAGAGTTTTTGCATAATATTTTTTCTTAATCCCTTTTTTCTCTCTCTCAAGAGTTTTTTTTTTGCATAATCTTTTTTTTCTACCCTCCCTTGCTTTGATCATAGGATTATATAGAAGTTCATGCTCAATCAATTCTCCTTATATCCGTGATTTTGTTTGATTTTCATTTTAATGAGAATTGATTTTGAAAATAAATCTAAAAAATCTCTCCCTATCATTTTAATGTGAAATGATTATGGAATTAAATCCCGACAATCTCTCCACATCAAATGTTAATTGATTCTGGAATTAAAACCAAAAAATCTCTCAACTATAGTTAAACTCCAAAAAAATATTCCTACACAACATGAGGTGTCTATAAATAAACAAATATTTTTAATAAATTTTAAATATTTTCGATCAGCCCAAGCTTCAAATCTCTTGAGCCTTGGATAGAAAGTTTTTCTTTTATTTTATTAAAGATTTTTTTTTTCAATTTATTAAGGAGAGTACATATACAATTTAGTTACTTAAAAATTTAAAGTAAGAAAAACAAAAAAGAAAACAAAAACTATCTATTTTCTCTATTGGCTGGTGGTCCAGAGAAATTCTTATATCTGAAAGCAAATAAAAATATCTCTTTGCATCATCTTCCTTTGAAATTTTGTAGTCCGGACGAGACATTTTGCCTTAATTTCTTTGAGTATCTATGGCTTCAGCCAAGTCCGGTAACTATCTTTAGTCATCTCAAAGAGAAATTCATCAAAGGGACAGCACTCAAAGCAAATCATTCTAGATTCAAAATTAGAGATCAAAACTGTTTTAAACAAGAAATAAAAAAAAAAGGTTCCCGAAGTTCGTAATTTTTCCTACTCTTTTGTTATAAATTTGCTGTCATTTGATGTTGCAGAAAGAACTTATATTCTCTTTGCTTTTGTAGCCGAAGCAAACACCGCGAAATGTAAAGTAATAGTAGCATGAATTCAAGTGGTCTTTCCTTGTTGATGAGGCTACCAGAAATGCATTTCAAGGCGCCTTGGTCACTTAAATTTTCCATCCATGTTGCTGTCGTTCTTCTCTTATGCTTCAATTTTAAAGGCACTTTCTTTATTGGTTCGGCAGCCTTGGCAATTAATGGAAATGAAACAGATCGACAGGCTTTGCTCCAGTTTAAGGCCAAGGTAGCTAGTGATCAGCTTGGGATTATGCGTTCGTGGAACAACAGCATCCAGTTTTGCCAATGGCGTGGTGTTAAATGCGGACGATGACATCAGAGAGTTACCAGGTTGGACTTGCCAGCACTGAAACTAATGGGACCAATATCACCTTATATTGGAAATTTGAGCTTTCTACGGGTGTTAAGTCTTCAAAACAACAGCTTCATTCAAGAACTTCCACAAGAAATAGGCCGTTTACATAGATTGGAAGAACTAACTCTTGATAGAAACTTCATAGTTGGTGAAATTCCTTCCAATATATCTGGTTGTTCTAAGCTCAAACATCTTTACATTGGACACAATCTGCTAGTTGGAGAAATACCTGCTGCACTTGGCCACTTGTCAAACCTAAAGGAGTTAGGCTTTAGCAACAACACCTTACGAGGGAGTATCCCTCCTTTTATAGGTAACTTGTCATCTTTGGAGATAATCTTTCTGCCTCTAAATAGATTGTCTGGGGTTATCCCTGAAACTCTTGGCCAACTGAAGAATCTTACCACTTTTGGCGTGGCAATGAATAAAATGTCTGGTATCGTTCCTTCCTCACTTTTTAATCTCTCTAATATCAGAATTCTTGATATTGGGGAAAATAACTTTCATGGTAGTCTTCCCTCACAATTGGGAGTCAACATGCCATATCTTGAACTGTTTTTTGTTGGCCGGAACCAACTCAGTGGACCATTCCCTCTTTCAATATCCAGTGCCTCTAACCTCATCGAGCTTCAGGTTGACGGGAACAAATTTAGTGGAAAGATATCTTCATTCCGAAACCTAGAAAAGTTGCGAAGATTGAATATTGGTGAGAATCTTCTTGGTAGCCAGGGACCAAATGACTTAAACTTCCTCTGCTCTTTAACTAGTGCCACCAGCTTGGAAATTGTGGCTATCAATGACAACAACTTTGGAGGGATATTACCTGAGTGCATAAGCAATTTGTCAATTGCTATCACCTATTTTGCTATAGAAGGCAATTACATAGTGGGGAGAATGCCAGCAGGATTTGGAAATCTAATCAACTTGGAGGCGCTCTCGGCAGGACAAAATCAATTATCAGGTTCCATTCCATCTGTAATCGGCAGGCTTCAAAAACTAAAACTTTTTGCTGTAGATATTAATTCAATCTCTGGATCCATCCCCACTTCATTGGGAAATTTAAAGATGTTGATGAAGTTGTATCTAAATGACAACAATCTTCAAGGCGAAATTCCTCCAAGTCTAGGCAAATGTGAAAATCTGATTTTTTTAGATCTTTCTAATAACAATCTCAGTGGTTCTATACCTTCTCAAATAGCTGGACTATCATCCTTGTCTATCGGTCTATACTTATTTTCAAACCGTTTGACTGGCATGCTTCCCTTTGAAGTAGGAAATTTAAGAAATCTTGGTGAATTAGATGTTTCTCAAGACATGTTATCAGGTGTCATTCCAAATGATCTTGGTAATTGTATAAGGCTGGAGGTACTGCTGATGAGAGGCAATTTCTTCAATGGATCAATTCCTTCATCTTTGAGTTCATTGAGAGGTCTTACAAATTTAGACCTTTCTAGAAACAATCTCATTGGTAAAATTCCTGAATTTCTTGTGACATTTGGCTCTTTACACTACTTGAATCTTTCTTACAACAATTTCGAAGGTCTAGTACCAGTTGGTGGAGTCTTTAAAAATATGAGTGCTATGTTCATTGAAGGAAACAGTAAGCTTTGTGGAGGCATTCCTGAGTTCCACTTGCCAACTTGTGATAACTTGAAACAACATAGAGGGAGATCAACTACTTCACTTAAATCAATAATTGCTATTGTTTCTGCTTTTTCAGGAGTTGTTTTGGTTTTTCACCGTCATCTTTCTCTTTTGGTTTAGAAAGAAAAGAAAGCAGCCTGCATCATCCGCTGCAGAAAATCCATTGTTAAAGTTATCATATCAAAGCATTCTAAAAGCTACTAATGGTTTCTCATCAGCAAATTTAATAGGTACAGGCAGCTTTGGTTTTGTATATAAAGGAATTCTTGAAGAGAATGGAACAATTATTGCTGTCAAGGTACTTAAACTTTTGAGTCATGGAGCTTCAAGGAGTTTTTTGGCTGAATGTGAGGCCTTGAGGAATGTAAGACATCGAAACCTTGTCAAGGTATTAACAGCATGTTCTGGTGTGGACTATCAAGGCAATGATTTTAAGGCTCTTGTTTATGAATTCATGGCAAATGGAAGCCTAGAGGATTGGCTGCATCCAACTGTTGGCATGAATGAAGGAGAGGAGACAGCAAAAAGCTTGAGTTTTTTTCAGAGATTGAATGTGGCAGTTGATGTTGGTTGTGCATTGGAGTATCTTCATCATCATTGCGAAACACCAGTTGTTCACTGTGATCTCAAACCAAGCAATATTCTACTTGATGATGAAATGGTTGGCCATGTCGGTGACTTTGGGCTAGCAAAATTCATTGCATCAGACGTACAAAATAGCACTTCAAGCCTGTCAAGCTCTCTTGGGTTAAGGGGAACAATTGGTTATGCTCCACCAGGTAAGTAGAACATTCTTTCAAATCAACACGTTATTTAGTTTAACCTGTTAAGAGCTTTTGATATGAGAAAGCTATTTGCATCTCTCTCGCAATTATTGCTCTTACTTGTAACAAATGAATTGCAGAATATGGCTTGGGATGCAATGTGACAACATATGGAGATACCTACAGCTATGGCATTCTTTTGCTGGAGATGTTTACAGGGAGAAGACCCACTGATGAAATGTTTAAAGAGAACCTGAACCTTCATAACTTTGTTAAAATAGCTTTGCCAAATCGAGTGGCTGAGATTACAGATCCCTCTCTTCTTCAACAAATTTTCGGAGGAGAAACAATGATGAACATTACTTTCAATGAGAGCAGCCAAAAAGAAAACAGACTTCTTTGGAGCTTGAATTCCATATTTGAAATTGGAATTGCCTGTTCTTTTGAATTGCCAACTGAAAGAATGAACATGGCTAATGTTGTTGCTGAGCTTTGTTCTATAAGAGACAAGCTGCTTCCACCTCGATTATTAAGAACAAGAGGTTCTACTATTGGTTTAAATCCAAGTAACAATAACATTTAATTTGTTTTACAGTTTTATCAAATTTTACATCCTTTGCATTATTTTTTTCAGCTGCAGCTGCTGCTTAATGGCTTAAGCTTAGTTGGTCCATTGGCGTGTGAAGGTGCAGTTTTGATCACTATCACATTTGATTTGGAACTCCTTGGCGCCCTGTATTCTGTCCTGCAAACAATCCCTCTCCTGGAAAGAAACAGGGAAAAGAAGAAAAGATCATCATTTCCTTCAACTGCAGTTACTCATCTTGTGTTTTTTTTCTTCTTTCAACCCTTTCTTCCCATTCATTTTGTGAAATGAAGGACAAATCTGTAAGGAGATATGGATTAACCACTTTCTTAATCTTGTGTTACATTTGATAAATATAATTCACTCTAGTGTTTCAGGTTTCATGAATAAATAATTATTTTTTGGGCTTAATGCTAACATTCTGGATTAGAATGAGTTCATGCAATTTATCTGGTATGGTATACAGCTACATTTAAAATGACAAAGAATTTTTAAACTTCTGTCTGTATCATTTCTCAGAGTGGCTTACAAATTGACTCATGAACCAAGAAGGAAAATTTTGTCACTATGGTATAGATGAGTTTCAAATAGAACTTTGTTCTTTTCTTTTTCAAGAACTACAGGCAACTAAACATTTTTTTATGTATGTTATAATATAATATGAGGGGGGTTCATAATTTTCACCCTCCATAAATAGAATCCAAACTTTTCCTCTTCTATCATTTTTTTTAACAAGAATTATTGTGAGAATTGTTCATAAAGATATTAAGATAAAAAAAATAAATAGGTGTATTTTCTGAATAGATTAATAAAAGTGACTATTTGGTCATCAAAATCCAGAGGAAGGGAAAAAGATTATTAATGTTTAATATTCCATGAATATGTGGCAGCAATGTTATTGTGAGAGATGATGGTAAGAAGATAAGACACAGCAAACCTGGAAGAACAAGACAAAAGCATCTAATTGGAAATTGAATGTAACAGTTTAATCATGAACAAAATGATTAATTCTTTTGATCATTTGTTTGCATTTTTATCACTTTTGTTTTGATCAAAAGATAAGCTTTTTCCCTTCTTTTGACTTTCTCATTTTCAAGAAATTAAAATTTAATGAAATAATATTTCATTTTCAAAAAAATAATTCAAACAGAAAAACAAGCCTTATAACTTTGCTGTTACATTTACAAAAAAAAAAACAAAAAGGAAAATTCCCTTTTTTTTTAAATTTATTTAGGAGAGTACATATACAATTTATTTACAACTGGAAAAATAAATATAATCAATCAAACAATCCTTTCATAATAACCCATTGTTATGGATAGAAAAAAAAGGAAAACTACTAAATCATCTGATGGATGGTGCTATAGACTTTTGGTAATGAATGATTATTAAATGGTCTAGCCTTTGATGTGAATTATTTTTACCAATCAAACCTTGTAAAATATCTAAGAAAACAATAAGAAAACTCAGAAAAAAGAATTTGCAAAAGCAAGGTGTGATTACTACTTGAAGCTATATCTGAACGATCAAAAAATAACCTGATGACTTTACTTGAATGGTAGCTTTTCTGGCTAAAAATCATTTTCTAAACTATTGATTAGAAACAGAGAATTAAACAATTCTCAAAGAAGTGGGATCCAGCTGAAAAATCCATGTTCAACCTAATTTCCCTTCTGATAATTACTTTCTTTGAATTCTGCTACTTTAAGTTTGATTATGCATTTGCCTTTGCACAAGTTGACTGAGCCAGATCAAGGTAAACGCAAAGGCAGCAGACCCACTTCTTTATTTTCAGTTGTCATTCTGTCGTCAGATTCCCCCATTCTTTGCTCCTACGGTGCAAGTCGTTTTCTTTTTCGGCCAAATTCCTATATATGGCCAAGTCTACAAAGTCCTTTAAAGACTTCAATTAATCTCGGTGATGAAAATAAAGGCGCAAGGGAAGCAAGTAGACTTATTCACGGGTTGTGCATTTGATGGAGTTTTATTGTTCTTGGAAAATTCTTGCCGAAGGCTTGACTAGCCCTTTAGGTTTAATAAGCTTGTTTTTTATGAAATATATTAAAATATTAAAAAAAACTAAAATATGAATATTAAATATTTTAAAATATTTTAAAATTATTATTTAATAAATAAATATTTTTATTAAATTTTAAATATGTGAGATGAAGCCCAATCTTCAAATCTCTTGTCCAAGGCTCGACCTTACAAATTTAGAAACAAAAAAAATCTTAATTCTGAGTTAGATATTTTAAGATATGATTATTTTAATAAAAAGAGCTCAAGTTGTCAATGTTAATTAATTGAGTTAATCCTTATTTAACTTAATTATTTTTTATATAATTGGTCTTAAAATGGATTGATTAATTTCTGTTATGTTAAAATTATCTTAAATAGGTTGTTAATTATTTTGGAGAAAAAACTAAGTGGTGAAATCAAAAGGAGGTAAGTCTAAATAAGTAAATGTTTTATTTCATTATTTTTTATATATGAAAATAGGATCAATCATATGATTAATTTGTGTTTTTGCTATGTAATGGTGGATCATTCTTATAAATGAAATGAGAAAATGATTTATGTTTAAAGAATGATTTTATGATAGCTACATTTTTACATTCTTGGAAAATAAGATCATCGACATCAGAACTAGTTTTACGACTTTGGCAAATGGGTAATAGTAGATAGCATTAAGCCCTAGCTAGCATATTATAATAGTTAGTAATGATTATAAGGATGAATTTATCGATACGGTCAATGTCACGAGTTATAGTAGTGACCGTAGCTAACAATAAACTAATGGTTTATGATGAATTGTGATGATTTTAAAGATTGATTCATAATTTGGTTTGATTACGATAGTGAATAACAACATATTTTGAAATGATTTATGAATTAATATATTTTATATTAATTTATAAATTTACGAAAGGTTTGATAGAATGATGATTTTTAAAATGTTTTTGATATTATGATTTGATTAATGTTTTTGGAATGATCTATATAGTATGTATATTAACGATGCTTAATCCAATAAGGTGTGTGAACCTATACTTGCTAAACTGTAGTTTGTCCATTCTCCATTTTCTTTTCTTTTATAGATAATTTAAATGATAAATATGATTAGTCTTTTGAGGAGCTAAAAGAATCTGAGCATCAGAGAACTACTTAGCAAATATGATTTTATTAAGTATTGTTTTTTTTTTAGTTGCAGTACTTGACATTAATGATTTAGAGACTTGTTATTTAGTTGTTTTACATATGTTAAAACTTTTGGAAAACCTTATTTTGTTTGAGAATTTTTCAATGGTTATGGAATAAGCTTCATATTGCTTTGAGATTTTACTTCAAAATAATATGATCGTATTATATCTCTATCTCAGAGCATTTCTCGTTTCATGATCAAAATAAACCACAAGTATCATAGAGAGTTTGCACTGGATTTACCAATTATCTATCAAAGGAGATTGCTGAGATAAAAGGATATCAGATGATAGAACATGAGGACTTATAATCACATAACCTGTTAGTAAAATGTTAAACTTTTTAGTTTCAATTATCAAGATTCAAATCCTAATGGCCTCAATTATATTATAAAAAAAAAAAAAAAGAGAGGGGATCATGATTGAGGAGAGAACATGATTATAACTCTGTTAAACACAAATGACTTAATAGTTAATATTAATTAGTAATTAATAATCTAGAAGATACACGTACATAAAACTTAATATTTTACATTCTGTGGTTCTTATATTTCAGACAAAAAGAAGAGGGGATCATGATTAAGGAGAGAACATGATTATAACTCTGTAAAACACAAATAACTTAATACTAATTAGTAATTAATAATCTAGAAGATACACGTACATAAAACTTAATATTTTACATTCTATGGTTCTTGTATTTCAAACAAATTATCGAATAACAGAAAGAAAACTTGAGCTAATCAAGGTTCGCGAACAGCTCCTGTGGTTTATAAAAGTTTGCATCATTTATCAACGAATGTAGACTCTGACAGGTTGACGAAATGAGCAAGGCCAGTAGCTTTATTTTGGCACTCAAGGTACTCGGTGTCAAGATCACTGTCTGTAACTATACCAGGGCTAGCTTGAAGATAAGCTACCCATTCTTGGCGTCCATCAGCATTTTTGTACAAGTACATTGTGTGTCACGTCCTAATATCAAGACGCAACATAGTTATATTACTTTGAAGTAAATCTTAAAGTAATACGAAGCCTTCTTTCTTAATTAATATAAATTTTTTTAATAAACTGATATATTCTGCCAAATAAAATCCCTATCTTTAATCTAACTAATGATACATCTCTATATATATTTAAATAAAAACGATATAAAAATACAAAACCATTTCATAAGATCTCACAGGCCAATATTATCTCCAACAACTAAGTAATCTTTCTCATTTAATCTTCTAGCTTTTCACAAAACTAAGCAAACTTATCACTTACTCATCTATAAAGAAAAAAAAAAAGTAAAAGGAGAATAAGCAAACCACAGCTCAACAACTATAGGCTCACACACCTTATCCGATCAAACATCGTTTTCATACATAATATATAGAGTATTCAAAATAGTCATTAAATCATAATGTCAAAACATTTCAAGATCATCGTTTTGTCAAACATTTCATAAATTCATAAATCAATATCAAAACATGTCAATTCATCAATTATAAATCACAAATCACGGTCAAATATATATTCCATACAAGTCATGGATCAATGTTTAAAATTATCATAAATGTCATAACCTATAGATCCGAAAATCTATAACTAGATTTAACAAATGAATGGAGTCACCACCAATCTTTTTTATCTAGATGTGATTGGCCATAAGGAATCTATCATCTTAAGGAGCTCCTAAGCTTGACTAAGGGTCCCTAAAAGAATAGGTTCGAGTTTACTAACCAGAACAGGATTTAGGAGTCAGTTACATGTAGGAAAAGTTATAGCATCCCACATGCCCATCCGAAGAATGGTACCATATTATTTTCAATTTATCCTATGGTTTTGAGTCTAATGGTTTCAAATTTTAAGTTAACTATAGA